GTACAATATAGTTCCAGTACCCCATACCATTAATACTTACAGTACAGTACTAGTTCCAGTACCCATTACCATTCATAATTACAGTACAGTACTAGTTCCAGTACCCTCACTCTTAACAATTACAGTACAGTACTAGTTCCAGTACCCTTTATCATTATTATTTGCAGTACAGTACTAATTCCAGTACCCTTACATTTTTCACATATAGTACAGTACTAGTTCTAGTACATAAAATTACAGTACAAGTACTAGTATCACTTTTAGTTCCAGTACCAAGGTACTGGAACAACGTATCAGATAAAATTATAAAAATTGAAAATTCTCTACTTTTCATTATTGGCAAAATTTGTCCTGAATCCCTGTACCATTGTAGCACATAGTTTTTAGCGCCAAAACCCTGTGTGAAATCTAATGATGATGATGATGAAATAATATTTTATCTGATAGATGCTATCAATCATGCTGCAGATGCTTGGGGTATTCGCTGCATGAGATATGAAATTAAAGACATACAATTACCTACTAAAGTCAGAGATGCTATGCAGATGCAGGTACTTATTCATGGATACATACATACAGAGCTCAGAGCTGGGGGTTTAAAATATGAGGATTAAAAAGCCATTTGGCAAAATATAGAGTTAAAACTGAATCTTTGTGTACATGCTTAATGACACGTGTTTATAAAGTTGCCAAAATTAAAAATCAAATTCTCTGAAAATTTTGGAATTTTGTCAAACTCCTTCAAAAATAACTCGCCATACTCTCGTGGATCTAGGTTGAAGCTGAGAGAAAGAAAAGGGCTAATATTTTAGAGTCTGAAGGTTAGAGTATTATTATTATTATTTAGTGTAAGTTTACTATTCACCAATACACTGATAGGTGTACGTGAGTCTGCTATCAACAGGGCTGAAGGTATCAGACAAAGTAAAATATTAGCCTCTGAAGCAATGAGGATTGAACAAGTCAATATAGCTAAAGGTTAGACCAATGCGTAACATTTACTTTTATTCTCATGATAATGATGTTATCACTGTTGTGTTCTATTGTAGGAGAGTCATCTGCCATATTAGCTAAAGCTCTGGCCAGGACTGAAGCAATTAATCTATTGGGCCAAGCATTAGGACAGAAAGTTAGATTTATAGCTGTGTTAATTTTACAGTATAAGAATCATCTTTACTATTACTATTATTATACTATTACTTCTGCTTATGTTGTTTCTTTGTGGTTTAGCATGGTAATAAAGCAGCTTCACTCTCTGTAGCTGAGCAGTATGTGCAAGCATTTGGTAATTTAGCCAAGGCTTCAAATACAGTACTACTCCCTGAGAAAACTGGAGACATAAGCTCAATGGTTGGACAGGTAAGAGATTGATACAGCA